AACTTACGTTGGAAAAATGCTAGCTTCAAACCTGGGGAAAATATAAAGGTGACATTTTATGCTGTTAAAGGTAGGGAAAAGCAGCACTGCAAAAAATAAAACTAGTATTGGTTTTCATAATATACAATTAATCAAAGTCATGATATTGTTATAGAATGTTAAATTAATTTAAAAAACTAGCTGATGTTGGGTCAGTTGAGACTTATTAACCCCATGTGTGTCAGAGTAAAATTGTGCACCGTAGGGTTTTCAGTGGCTGACTTTTCAGAAGTAGATGTCCAGGCCTTTCTTCTGAGGTTCCTCTGGGTGGACTCAAAACTCCAGCCTTTTGGTTAGCAACCAAGCACTTAACCATTTGTGCCACCCAAGAATTCCTATTATGCTATACAAAGCAATAAATAGATATATACAATTTGAAAAATGCTTCATGCCTCAAAGTCACACGGTAGAAATAACACTTAGGAATAATAATATCAGACATAAACAATAACTGAGATATGTCACTCAGGACATAGTAAAAAGCTCAAGGTATTAGTACATACTCTTATTACAAATTCCCTGATAAAAACATTTTTAGTCACTTAACTATCAGAGTTAGAAATTGAAATGAAATATTAATTTTCACAATTTTCTTCAATGTTTTATTTTTTAAAAAAGAAAATGACATAGAAGTTTGTATGGCAGTCTTTAAAATAGTCACGTGATGTATATGGGCTTAATGTCAAATAGCTAAATTGGAGTCCCATCTCTACCATCTCCTATCTACCCTAGTGTCCATTAGCTTTAAGAAAGTCATATAACCTCTCTCAAGGTTTCCTTTTCCTCCTTTGTAAAATTGGCCTAAGGTGAGCAAGGAGGACTGGAGACTTCTCATGCTCTAATGTTTGTGCCTGTGTATGATTCTAAAGAGACACTGGAAAAGCTCAATATCATCAGTCAGAACAAGGCCAGGGACCGACTGTGGAACAGAGCATCAGTTGCTCGTATGCAGGTTCAAGTTGAAGCAGGAGGAAATTAGAACAAGTCCACAAGAGCCGAAGTATGACCTTGAGTATATCCCACCTGAATTTAGAGACCATCTCAAGAATAGATGTGGCTCATTGAATGCTAATGACTGAAGACCAGACGAATTGTGGAATGACATCAAGGACATCATACTTGAAGAAAGCAAGAAGTCATTAAAACAACAGGAAAGAAAAAAAAGACCAAAATGGATGTCAGAAAAGACTCCGAAAGTTGCTCTTGAACGTCGAGTAGCTAAAGCAAGAGGAAAAAATGATGAAGTAAAAGAATTGAGCAGAAGATTTCATAGGGTGACTTGAGAATACAAAGGAAAACATTATAATGACATGTGCAAAGACCTAGAGATAGAAAACCAAAAGGGCAGAACATGCTCGGCATTTCTCAAGCTGAAAGAACTGAAGAAAAAGCTTAGGCCTCGAATTGCAATATTGAAGGATTCTATGGGGAAAATACTAAACAACACAGGAAGCATCAAAAGAAGATGGAAGGAATACAGAGTCACTCTACCAAAAAGAATTGGTCGACCTTCAACCATTTCAGGAGGTAGCATATGATCAGGAACCAATGGTATGAAAGAAGAGGTCCAAGCTGCACTGAAAGCATTGGTGAAGAGCAAGGCTCCAGGAATTGATGGAATACCAATTGAGATGTTTCAACAAACAGATGTAGCACTGGAAATGCTCACTTGTCTATGCCAAGAAATTTGAAGACAGCTACCTGGCCAACTTACGCTTATCCCAAAGAAGGTGATTCAACCGAATGTGGTAATTATTGAACGATATCATTAATATCACATGCAAGTAAAATTTTGCTGAAGATCATTCAAAAGTGGTATGTTGACAGGGAACTGCCAGAAATTCAAACTGGATTCAGAAGAGGACATGGAACCAGGGATATCATTGCTGATGTCAGATGGATCCTGGCTGAAAGCAGAGAATACCAGAAGGATGTTTACCTGTGTTTTATTAACTATGCAAAAGCATTCAACTGTGTGGATCTTAACAAATTATGGATAACGTTGCAAAGAATGGGAATTCCAGAACACTTAATTGTGCTCATAAGGAACCTGTGCCCAGATCAAGAGGCAGTCCTTCGAACAGAACAAGGGAATACTGCATGGTTTAAAGTCAGGAAAGGTGTATGTCAGGGTTGTATCCTTTTACCGTACCTATTCAGTATGTATGCTGAGCAAATAATCTGAGAAGCTGGACTATATGAAGAAGAACGTGGCATCAGGATTAGAAGAAGACTCATTAACAACCTGCGTTATGCAGATGATACAACTTCCTTGCTGAAAGTGAAGAGGACTTGAAGCACTTACTGATAAAAATCAAAGACTACAGCCTTCAGTATGGATTACACCTCAACATAAAGAAAATGAAAATCCTCACAACCAGACCCATGAGCAACATCATAATAAACGGAGAAAAGATTGAAGTTGTCAAGGATTTCATTTTACTTGGATCCACAATCAACACTCTTGGAAGCAGCAGTCAAGAAATCAAAAGATGCATTGCATTGGGGAAGTCTGCTGCAAAAGACCTCTTTAAAGTGTTGAAAAGCAAAGATGTCACCTTGAAGACTGACCCAAGCCATGGTATTTTCAGTTCCCTCATGTGTATTCAAAAGCTGGTCGATGAGTAAGGAATACCAAAGAAGAATTGGCGCCTTTGAATTATGGTGTTAGCAAAGAATATTGAACATACCATGGACTGCCAAAAGAACGAACAAATCTGTCTTGGAAGAAGTACAGCCAGGATGCGCTTTAGAGGCAAGGATGGTGAGACTATGTCTCACATACTTTGGACATGTTATTAGGAGGGATCGGTCCCTAGAGAAGGACATCATGTTTGGCAAAGTAGAGGGTGGGCAGAAAAGAGGAAGACCCTCAAAGAGATGAACTGGCACTGTGGCTGCAACAATGGGCTCAGTCATAACAACGATTGTGAGGATGGCACAGGAACGCGCAGTGTTTCATTCTGTTGTGCGTAGGGTCGCCATAAGTCAGAACCAACTCGATGGCACCTAACAACAACAACAACATGATTCTAAAGTAGAGATAAAACATATACTACGAATAATAAATATTTTAAACATATACCTTAGCTGTCATCATCCCTGAAACTGAAGTATTTTTTAGCACCTCATGTTCTGTGAATTAAATTACTAACTTATCACTGAGTCCTTAACCACCTGTAACATTAGGTAGGAGCCCTGGTGGTGCAGTGGTTAAGAGCTACAGTGAGCTACAGCTGCTAAGCAAAAGGTCAGCAATTCAAATCCACCAGACACTGTCCAGAGCAAACTGAAAACATAGTTCTAATCCCTGCAGGTTACTATAATTTTACTAAGTTAATATAATTTGAAAATCATGGCACATATACATAGAAACAAAATATATATCTAGGTTTTAACTAATATCAATAGTACTTGTTAACCATTGCTGTCATGTGCCATCGAATCAGTTACGACTTATAATGGCCGTATATGACAGAGTAGAACCCTATAGGGTTTAGTAGGCTGTAATCTTTACGGAAGCAGATTGTCAGGTCTTTTCTCCCTCAGAGCAGCCGGGTGGGTTCGAACCGCTGACTTTTTGGTTAGCAGCCTAGCATTTAACCACTGTGCCACCAGGGCTCCTTAATTTAACTATAACATAGCTGAAAGAATTTAAGCTCTGACATTAGGCAGCTCTTGGTTCAAAACTCAGCATCGAGTTTTACTCATTTGCTTATTGCTGATTTTTACATTATAGATTATGCAGTTTAAGCCTGATTCCCGTAGTGCAAAATGGAAGGATAATGTACTCTGAAGAGCTGTTGTGAGGGTTAAACGATAAACCATGCAAAGTACATATGTATGTAAAGAGCAATTAATAAATGTTAATTTTCTTTCCCAGTAATAATAAGCAATCAAAGCAGGATTTTAGCATATTTGTGCTAAAGATGAAAAGGTTCTAGCAAATTGTAAAGAATCCAGGACCAGTGTGACTAATTTTAAGATAGATCTTTTTATATTTAATATATATAGCTTTAAAAAATTTCAGTGCTGTTGGTTGTTCTCAGCAGCACCTGATATGAAAGTGTGAGTTACGAAACATGCCTAATCCTCTTATGAAAACTTTTGAAAATACAGTAAAGAACGGAGACTAATTCAACAAATTCCCACTTACCTACCACCCAGAACTAACAAATTCCAGCTGTCTGTCATATTTGCTTTAGATATTTAACTTTCCTCTTAAAAAAATGAAAATATTTCCAATAAAACTGAAACTCTCTCGTACAGTTCCCCAGACTCTTTCCTCTTCCTTCCTCCACAGAGACAGCCACTGTCGTGAATTTGGTGTGTATCCTTTCATGCAAATTTTTATGTTTACATTTATACTACTAGATAGATGCATAAGCATAAATAATTTTCTCTGTATACTTTTTGATTTACATGTAATTATATTTTATTGAGTGTTCTGTAGCTTGCTTTTTTTCCTTACCATTATATTTTTCAGACTTAACCCTTCATGGAATGCTTATAATGTCGTTCACCATTTCTCGATTCATTGACACTTTCTCACCCATTGATTCAGGTGCTTCATTCAGATGAAGAGCGTAATAGCAGATGGGGTACTACTGACTTTAATTAAACACCTTTCTGGTTTGAACTACACCTTTACTTGCAGAGTCTCACGTTATTCTAGCCAGTACTTATTTTGAATGGGGTTAAAATCGTAAAAAAGACTACCACATTTTTAATTATCACTTGCAAATTGATCTGTCTATAACCAAAGCTTCTGATTAATCTATAGCCATGCCCCATCTTCCAGACTTGTTCAAAAGAGCTTGTATTATACAAATTACATTTCTAGAAAGAATATGGATTAAATCTCATAGGTTTTCTATAAAATGATCAACAACATCTGGTACCAAATAGCTTTGTTCTGTTTTTGTTTATTTGTTGTTTTTATTTTGTTGTTTGTTTAACAGCTTCATCACTGGTCCAGCTGTAGTTCCAGGGTACTTCTCCATTGATGTAAATAATGTGGTACTCATTTTAAATGGAAGAGAGAAAACGAAAGTCTTTTATGCCACCCAGTGGTTACTTTATGCCCAAAATTTAGTACAAACTCAAAAACTCCAGCATCTTGCTGTTGTTTTGCTTGGAAACGAACATTGTAATAATGAATGGATAAGCCAGTTCCTCAAAAGAAATGGAGGCTCTGTTGAGCTGCTTTTCATAATATATGACAGCCCCTGGATTAATGAAGTGGATGTTTTCCAGTGGCCTTTAGGAGTAGCAACGTAAGTACAAAATATTACTACACATTTCTAGACTCTTTAAGACCTGAATTTCTTTTTTTTAATGCTGTTTTTTTAATTGTGCTTTAAGTGAAAGTTTACTGCGCTAGTTATTTTCTCATACAAAAATTTATACACACATTGTTATGTAACCCTAGTTGCTATCCCTTTAGTGTGACAGCACACTCCTCCTTTCCACCCCGGATTTCCCGTGTCCATTCAACCAGTTCCTATCCCTTTCTGCCATCTCATCTCACCTCGAGACACGAGCTGCGCGTTTAGTCTCGTATATCTGCTTGAACTAAGAAGCAGCACACTTCCCACGAGTATCATTTTATGTCTATAGTCCAGTCTAATCTTTACTGAAGATTTGCCTTCAAGAGTGGTTTTAGTTCTTGCTTAACAGAGACTCCAGGGGCCGTGTCTTCTGGGGTTCCTCCAGGCTCAGTCAGACCATTAAGTCTGGTCTTTCTACTAGAATTTGAGTTCTGCATCCCATCTTTCTTCTGCTCCGTCAGGGACTCTCTCTTGTATTCCCTGTCCGGGCGAAGACGTGAATTTCTGAATCAAGATTTGTGTTTTAGATTTGCAGAAATTTTCATTCTTTTGGTATCATTAAGGACAGGTACAATCTTTCTTCGAGGCAAAAATACGGTTTGGTCTCATGCTTCAGTGACAATAATGATATTTTTGTAGTATTTTATCTTTTTATGAAGACAACAAATGAGCAAAGTTTCTTGTTTCTGTTTTAAAACCTGAAGGCATCAGATGAATTTTCAAGCTTATCAGGAGTGTTTTAAAGAGATGCTTAGCAGAGAATGGCAGACAGACTTTCTTAAAACTATGTAATTTATAGTTAAAAAAAAACCTTTAATAATACTGCCTTTAAATTTTACTTTGAGGGCAGTAATATTAAAAGCACACTGGGCCCTTGAGTTTGGGAGGATTGTGACATGTTCAGATCTGCCACTAAGACTGGTTGAATTTGTGCAAGCCTAGTATGTAAAATGAGGGGTCAATTATATGATAGCTAAGGTTTCTCAATATGTTTGCTATATATAAAGTCTGTCTTCAGCTATAAAGTGGAAAATATATTTCTTATCTTTCTGTTATAGAAGGGTTTTAATTTAGAGTAAATTGACTTTAAGAGTAAGTTGCCACTGGTGTATAAACTTCTAGAAGGCAGGAATTTTTGTCTCTTTTGTTCACTGCTCAATCCCCGGAGTCTAAAACAGTACCTGGCACGGAGGAGGAACTCAATAAATATTTGTTGGGTGGATGAATTATGAAAAATCTCACTGACGTGATTTTTGTGAACTCGGATATTCAGTATTCTGCCACTGGCTTCTAAACGTGGCCTTAGACTGGTGCCTAGCTGGCTACACAATATCACCCAGGAAGCACATAAATAAGACATATTTCTTGGCCCAACACCCTGAGATTCTGACTTAGAAAGTTTGAGGTAGGGCTAGACAAAAAGATTTTTGTTAAGTACAGCCAGGTTTAAGACCCTCTGAAAAAGCTATCTTTTGAGTAGAGCCCATATTTGTAAAATGTTTTGAAAACGAAAGATTACTATTTATGCTAACTCTGTATACCCTATACATAAAGTATAGGACAGAAACTCTGGAATTCTGGTGGTGTTAGACTAGGCCAATATCTTTCTTTTAGATCAGTTCTCAACTGGGGACAGTTTTGCCCCCCAGGAGACATTTGGCAATGTCTAATAAAGACATTTTTGCTTGTCACAAAATGTCAATGACGCCGAGGTTGAGAAACTTTGTTATAGACAGTTATGTAAAGCTTTGCTCTTACGTGAAAATTGTATTTCAGACCCACAGTTTGATCCCTGTTATTTCCAAATGCCCTTGAGCATGGACCCATTTCAGCAGGCCTCTCCTGTGTGGCATGCTTTTTTTTTTTTTTTTTTTTTTAAATCTATTCAGAAGGCTCTTGGAATTAATTTTGCAGAACTCTTTGCTATAGCAATATGTGTTCTGTAATCTTTCCATCTCCTGGCTAAAACACTGGTTAAATCATGATCATTATGAATGTAGTTTTTTTTTTTTTTTCACTTTAAAGGTCTGGACTTCAACCCTATGTAACAGTTGCTAGTGACTAATGGAAGTTGATGAATGTAAAAACCAAAGAGGATTAGGCACATAATCTCATGGCAATTTTGTAAAATGTCAGTGTGAGATTTCTTTTTTTAAGTCAGTAGGTTTGGGGACTTTTCCAAAGTAAGCATGGAAAATTATTATAAGTTGGGGTTTAGAAAATATTTTAAAGCTGTTCTCTACATCATCATGCTCCCTAAAATGTTGGATTTTGAGAATTTTGCCAATCCATTTGTCATATATTGTTAACTCGGGTACTTATCTTTTATAGATACAGGAATTTTCCTGTCGTGGAGGCAAGTTGGTCAATGTTACATGATGAGAGGCCATACTTATGTAATTTCTTAGGAACTGTTTATGAAAATTCATCCAGACAAGCATTAATGGAGATTTTGAAACAAGATGGGAATGATAAGCTTTGCTGGGTCACAGCAAGAGAACAGTAAGTTCTATGTTTACTTGATTCATCCATTTTGTTTCCTAATCTGAGAATTCCTTTGCGTGACAGCACAGAAGGTCTCCAAAGAAGCATTGTTAACTTCATTAATACCCGTCTCTCCCAAGAAGTTACGTTGATAACTAAAGCTGTGAAATAAATACAATAGAAACTGGGTTGTATATATTTAAAATAGGGAGAATCTCTTGCACAGGCAGTCTCCGGGTTCTGAACGAGATCTGTCCCTAACCGTGCCTTTAAGTTGAATTTGTAAGTCGCTAACAGGAGCATACAGTTCTTATTTAGCCTTATTTTAGTGCAAGAAAAGGCTCCAAGTCTTTTCAGTGGTCTAAAAGCTGCATGTGATTGTGATGAAGAATTTGTTGCAAATAGGGGTTGGTTCAGTCATTTCAAAGTGAGGGCAGATTTATATAACCTTAAAGGGCAAGTACAAGTTGTCTGTAAGTCGATTGTTCATAACCCAGGGACTGCCTGTAGTTATAATCCATATAGTTGAAGAGGAACACTAGTACCTGTCATATGCAAATGTCAATTACTAGGGTGACCTCCATAATATGCGTTAGTCAGACTTGCTATACAGGACATTATGAATGCCACTAAGGTCTTAGGTTCATCCCTGAGATGAGGTCATCAGACCAGTCCAGTATACCAAGACTCACATGCATACTCCTCACACCTTCAGGAGCCTGACGCCACCCTGGGGACAGGAGCACATGCTGGTCTTTGAATCCCCCAGATCTAACATAGGACTCTGCAAGAGGTAGGCCTAGGATAAATGGTGAGTGGATGGAAGGATGGATGGATGAATAGGATTAAAGGGATTTCAGGATCTTAGTTGACTTAGCCAACAAACAGAATTGTGAACTTTCTTCCATCTTTTACGTGGTAATCAGGAAACAGGTGTTCATGGAGTAAAGCAAGAAATTTTGGACTCCTTCACCTTATTTTTAAGTAAACAAAAAATGGCGTTTTGTGTATATGAAGCAGAGTCATCAAAGAAGTGATGCCTAAAAAATATGCTTCTAGATCTAGAATTTGTTTTTTAATTGTAGTAGATACGCTCTTCTAGAAGGAATAACTCCCAACTCTGTTGTTAATGTAATCATATTATATTCATTCAGTCAACAAATATTTATCAGGCAACTACTGTATGCCAGAAACTGTCTTAGCCAGTAGGGATGCCACAGTGAACCAAACTGTCAAAAGTCCATGCCATCCTGGCCCTTAAATGCTTGTTGGAGGAGATAAATAAAATATATTGAGTGTCAGAAGGCGAGAAGTGCAATGTGAAAAAAGTAAGCAGAGAAAAGATACAGAGAGGACTGGGGATGAGGGCATTATTGCTGTTTTAGCACGGCTGTGGAAGGCATTTGTGAGAAAGTTAAATTTAAGTGAAGATCTGAAGAAGGTGCAGGGATGAGTCCTTTGGGAGAAGAGTATTCCAGGCAGAGGGAAAAGCAAACGTGTTACCGCAATAACGTGGATTGGAGCCGCCGGCCGCAATAGCCAATTCTGAGACAGGAGTGAGGTGGGCAGCAAGAGTTTTATTATATGTCGACAAATAGGAGACAGAGGAGAATAGATTCCTCCAAAAACCCCATCTCCCCAACTGGAGATTGGCGGAAGACTTTTATAGGGACAGGATTATGGGTCTTAGAAGTTTGTGTTAGTTCCCAAATGAGTTAATCTTTTCTTGGGGGTTATCTGGCGACATCCTGGTTTTCTTGTCCCAAGATGGGTGCTTTGTTCGGTTTGTCATTCCTAGATCATTATTGCTTGTTTTCCACCCTCCAAGGAGGAAGATCGGTTAATCTTAAACTTTTTATAGAGAGTGCAATGGGAGGGAAAAACAAGATCTTGAGATAATGCGGGCTTAGCAACAGTGAATAATAATAGTGAGCCAGACCTGTGCAGCCTCTTCCAAATGCAAAGACCCTAAGGCAGGAGCATGCTTACCATGTCTGAGGAACAACCAGGGGCCAGTGTACCTGGAGTGGAATGATGAAGACAGTGTAACATAACAAAAGTTTATTGTGGGAATAGAATTATTCTAATAACTCCTCTCAGTGGGGCCTGGAGGTGGGGTAGGTGACCTCCTTGCTTTTCATTGCTGCTTCCAGACCATTCTCTTGTCCTTCCAAAAACCCTCAGTTTTAAATTTTATGCCAGCAGAGAAAACCATCTCTTATCCTTCCTCCTTGAAGTCATTTCCTGGCCCTTGGGTTTATCCTCCTAATTCCTTGAAGTGTTTTGGTCCTGGCACGCTCTCATTGTCACCAACACTAGTCTTAATTCTTGGTGATTTCCAAATCTGCATAGATGGTCCCTCCATCACCTTGGTCTTGCAGTTCCTTTGCCTCCTCTTCTCCAATGACGGGAGCCTCCACCTGATCTCAGCCATTCACTTTGATTTCTTAGACTGTGTCATTACACAGAACTGCAACCTCTCCATGCTCTCAAGTTCTAACATTCCTCTCTGTAACCTCCATTTCCTGTCATTCAGGTTCATTCCCTGTAATAATCTGATGCCAACGATCCAACTGGGGCTTCACATCCATTATTTCTACCACCTTTTCATTGTCCTTTGCTGCACTCATGTCTTCACTTTCTTCTTTACCTCACTTCCATTTTAGAGTCAATCATGACTGCCTATACCTTCAGTTTGTTATCTCCCTAATCTGGCAAGCCCCAACTCTGATTAAATCCAGCTCTCTACCGGCTCTGTACCTGCACCCAGGCAGCTGAACTTGGTTGGAGAAAGGTGCTAATCAGCCTCACTTTAAATGTATTACCTTGACCTCAAGTGCCCGGCAATCGTACATTTTCCTCGTCCGTGTATTCTTCCACTCCCCTAAAAGACTGTTTCATACGTTCTTCTCTCTCCTCAAACTGTTTACCACCTCCTCCCCCAACTTCTCGTAACTTATGACTCTATTTCTTATTTGACTGAGAAAATAGGGAAGGTCGCGAGCGAACATCTAGCTTTCTAACTGGCCTCTCAGCCTCTACCCTTACTCCCGTACATGACAGCCACATTGATTCTGATAAAATATAAACCACTTGCCATCGAGTCAACTCCGACTAATGACGACCCCATGTGTGTCAAAGTAGAACTGTGCTCCTAGGATTTTCAGTGGCTGATTTTTTCAGTAGATACCAGGTCTTTCTTCCAAGGTGCCTCTGGGTGGACTCGGACCTCCAGCCTTCCGATGACCAGCCAGGCACGTTACTGTTTGCACCACCTAGGGACTCCCTAGTAAAATATAGATTAGGTCATATCACCTCTTTGATCAAAACCCTACACAATAGGGCCCCTTGTGGCCACTCTGACCTCATCTTCTACATCTTCTTTTTTAGTGTTAGGATTAAGTTAAGCTTAGGGTTTGCAGCAGGTTTAGTATTATGGTTATGGTTAAAGTTGGAGTTAACTTTAGGGTTAGAGTTGGGTTTGTGGTATGAAATGAGGGTTAGGGTTAATGTTAGGTTTAGTGATTAGATTAGGGTTAGGTTTAGGGTTAACATTAGGGTTAGTATTAGGGCTGGGGTTAAGGTTGTGGTTAGTGTTAGGATAAGGTTTGGGATTGTGTTTGGTTTGGCTTAGGGTAATGGTTAGCTTTAGGGTTAGAATTAGGGTTAGCATTAAGCATGGTAATAGAGTTATGTTTCCAGATAGGCTTAGGTTTAGGGTTAGGGTTAAGGCTAGGGTTAGTTTTTTTTTGGTTTTTTGTTTTTGTTTTTCTCTTAACTAATTGTGTTTTTGGTGGTCTTGCACAGCAGTTTCAGTTCCCATTCAACAATTCCTACACAAATTGTTCGGTAACATTGGTTACATTCTTTACAATGTGTGAACACTCCTATTATTTCTGTTCTGGTTGTTCTGTTTCCATTACTCTGGTTTCCCTGCCGCCTTACTTTCTCATCTTTGTTTTAATTTTGACCATTTGATCTCACATTGGTAATTCTCACCTTCTACATCTTTCCCTCTTGGTTACCTTGCTTCAGCCACCCTGGCTTCCCTGCTGTTTCCTGAACATGCCAAGGAACAAGAGCCTTTAGCTGTCTCCTGGCCTTTAGCTGCCCTACACTCTGTTCTCCCCCCAGATATCTGCATGGTTTGCTCCCATATCACCAACTTGGTGCTCACATGCCCCCATGATGAGACATTCCAGGTCACCTATTTAAAACTGTAACCCTATCCCCTCAGGAACTCCCTCTCCACTTCTTTGCTTTATTTTTCTTCCCATCACTAATACTTTCTAAATAATTTACTGTTTTGATTTGATTATTGCCTGTCTCCACCACTGGAACTAGAATATAAATTCATTGAAGGCAGGGATTTGGAGGGTGGTGGCTGGTGGGGTGGAGAGAGTACCTGGCACCCAGAAAATATGGATGAATTAATATTATTCGTTGACACATTTTATGGTGATACCAGATTTAAAAAGCATGAAGCTGTAAATTTTTCAAATTTAGGATTCTTAAATATTTTCAAGGGCCTATTTGAGCAAGATTATAGTTCTTCTGCCTGTCATTTCTGTAATGCGTTTATCATTTTCTTTCACAAAAGATATGCTCAGTAAAGTAAACACTAAAGTTACGTTTCTGATACTCTAGGTGGCAGCCTCAGGAAACAAATGAAAGCTTTAAGAATTATCAAGATGCTCTGCTTCAGAGCGATCTTACGCTGTGCCCAGCAGGGGTAAACACAGAGAGTTACAGAATATATGAGGCTTGCTCCTATGGCTCCATTCCTGTTGTTGAGGATGTGATGACACCGGGTGGCTGTGGAAATACATCTGTTCACCACAGTGCTCCTCTGCAGCTGCTCAAGTCCATGGGCGCTCCCTTTATCTTTATTAAGAACTGGAAGGAACTTCCTGCTGTTTTGGAACAAGAGAAGACTATAATTTTACGAGAGAAGATTCAAAGGAGAAAAATGTTACTTCGGTGGTATCAACACTTCAAAACAGAACTGAAAATGAGGTTCACTGATATTATAGAAAGCACATTTTTAATGAATAATAAAGGTTAACTCTTCGTTATCTTTTTGAACGAAGATCTGATTTTTTTTTTTTTAATCATTTCTAATGTTGGGTTTGTGTGTATGTGTGTGTGTGTTTGTGAATGTTTTTAAGGTATCCTGGTAAATCCTAGATGATGTAATGTTGTCTAAGCCCTCCCCTATTGGGCCACTCCTGTGTACAAGCTGAAAATGCAATTAAAATGTTACTGAAACCCATTTCTACAAAGTGGAATGATTCAATAGTTATCAGCTCTTCTCATCCACAAATACTCACTCTAGGGAAGCAGCACTGTGTTGTGGAAAGACCTGGATTAAAACCTTGCTTCTGCACCTAATCTGTGGCTGACCTCGAGCAAGCTACCTGAATGTTCTGAGTCTCAGTTCCTTTTAGTGTAAAATGGAGATAACACTATCTCACGGGGTTAGTTGTAAATATGAAATAATATATAAAGAACCTAATACATGTAGTAAACTCTCTTAAGTAAATTGTAATTTCTCCTCTAACCCATTTTTCTTTTCTCATTATACTTACTACAGGGTTAAATTTGGATAATTTAACACAGACTCATTTATATAATTTGGGAGTAATCTTACGCCCTGTTGGGAATTTATGTGAACAAATCTTACCTGTAGATTACTCAGGGTTATATTGGGTCAGACTGAAGCAGTACCTGGATGTAGAACTTGATCACAGTCCATATAAAACAAGGATTGGAGCAGTCAGAGCCGGAGGATTTGTGTCTAAACAGAGAGAGTCATTAAAGTACAGAGTAAAACTTTAGCCAAGTCTACATGAGAGCACTTCAAACAAAGGATGTCTGATACCTCTGGAGAGAAGTGGCTTTGAGTGAGTAGTCTTTTATCTTCATGTTTTTGGAGTCCTGAAATAATGCTGGGAACTGTGGGCTCAATGAGTTGCTGGGCCTGGCTTTTTATTTTCTCAGGAATCCTGTGACTTAACTCCTGTGAAATGGGATTAAGTCATTGCGTCCTTCCAGAAGCTTTTTTTTCCCTCTCTCTCCTTTGTTTTTAAATTGTGCATCTGATGAAGGTTTACAGAGCAAATTAGTTTCTCGTTAAACAATACACACATTGTTTTGTGACATTGGTTGCCAACCCCATAACGTGTCAACACTCTCCCCTTCTCGACCTTGGGTTCCCTGTTACCAGCTTTCCTGTTCCCTCCTGCTTTCTCATCCGTGCCCCTGGGCTGGTGTGCCCTTTTAGTCCTGTATACATGGTTGAGGTACATGTATTATTGTTTGTATTATGGGTCTGTCTAATCTTTGGCTGAAGGGTCAACCTCGGGAGTGACTTCAGTACTGAGTTAAAAGGGTGTCAGGGGGCCATACTCGGGGTTTCTCCAGTCTCTGTTAGACCAGTAAGTCTGGTCCTTTTTTGTGAGTTAGAATTTTGTTCTACATTTTTCTCCAGCTCTGTCCGGGACCCTCTATTGTAATCCTTGTCAGAGCAGTAGGTGGTGGTAGTCCAGAATCTTTTTGTGTCTTCATTATATGAATGGCCATAGATAGTCAACAAGTGTAAATTCCCCCATATTTCTCAGGCTTGGAGCTCCCGCAAAGGTGTCCACATCACCAGAAGGTCTGGCAGCCTGGCTATACCTTTGTTATCATTTTGAAGAGATAGGATGCACTGAACTTAGGTAACTATTTTATACCCTGTGACTCCTCTTTTACCTCCACCTCAGTTGATAGCTTTTTTTAAAAAAAGTAATAATATTGTATTTTCACTGAAGGTTTACACAGCAGGTTAGGTTCCCATCCAACAATTTCTACACAAGTTGTTCAGTGAAATTAGTAATATAGCAATGGGCTGTTGACTCAAGTCCACCCTGTTGATAGGCTGTGTAGTGGCCCAGGACATTGTTATAAATAATAATAACAACTGAGGCAAACATCTAGTTCTAGGCATTTCTAAATTAAAGGGAAATATTGAGAACCTGGAGTGAGCTGCAGGAGCAGAAACTGAAAGGATGCAATGGAATAGGAGCTATGAGCTAGCACTGGGGCTGTGAGAGAAGCAAAGATGCCAAAAACGAGCTCAAGGAGAAAGACTAACCTGTCTCTTCCCAGAGCTGCCCTGATGGTTCTTAATGATGGTTCTGTAGTCCTCATGAGTTTTGAGATTCCATTTTTCTTCCCCGTGTGTATCCTCAGAATAATCTCCTTTCTTCAACCTTCATCCCTCCCCTCCTCTGTTTACATGAGCTGACTTCCAAACCAAAGGAGCCTAACCAAAGCAAATGACTATCAGCTTCATCTTCCATTCCCTCATTTTGCTTTCGCCATGAACGGGGGTGCATGCCAGGTCCCAGGTTGTAACAGTTCTTCTTTGACTAGATTGAAGAAGTTTCTGTACTGCATTTTACCAACAAAACTGGACCATCTCTCACTTTTTGGTACCTGCTATTGCATGTATAATACCTTCCAAGAATGCTTTTATAGCTCTAGAAGGGAAGTGGGTAGGCCATGCCAGCAAAGCCATTAGAATGTCAAAACAATGGAGCAAAAGATACTGAATCATATCAAAAGAAATTTCCCAGTGCCCCCCAACCATATGGACTTTATAGGTAACGTACTAAGAGGCCAACTCTAAACAATCAGTTGCCTCTGAAATCAGTGAAAAATCTACCTGCATACCATATTTTTATGCAAATAATGCACACATTATATATTATTTTGCCAACCATGCACCCACACCACATCAACCGCCTCACTCCCACCACACACCCTGAGCTATTTGCATAAGCATGCTATGCTGTACATTATATGTATGAGCACATTATTTGGAAAAATATGATAGTTTATGGTGGTTTGGAGCCCTGGTGGCACAGTCGTTAAGAGCTCAGCTACTAACCAAAAGGTCAGCAGTTCGAATCCACCAGCCACTCCTTGGAAACCCTATGGGGCAGTTCTACTCTCTCCTATAAGGTCGCTATGAGTCAGAATCAACTTGACAGCAACGGGTTTTGGCTTGGTTTGGTGGTTTGTGTTACAAAGCTAGTGTCCAGAAAGTTTGAAGCCCTAGAACCTATCAAGGTCTGAATTCAAAGCTCGTGATTATTTAGAATACATAGCCTCACTAACAAGAAGTACAGTCTAAGGGCATTGTTGGCATGGAATCTCACTATTTCAGGTTGATTTTCTGTCAATACCAGAGAATTTTCCAACCTCAGGAAAACTAGCAAGGCAGCAGAATACACTGATACTTTAAATATTTTGTAATGTACACTATGTGCTAGGCATTTAGCTAAGTGTTAGCAGTAAAATGCTGGTCCTGTCCTCAAAAACAAACAGCCTGATGGGGGAGATAGTTACGTAAATAGTTACAGAGCCACTCATGCTAAGAGTTCCAGTAAAAGTATTTACAAAGAGCTATCGGAATTCAGAGAAAGAGCTGTCCAGGAGTAAAGCCAAGGATGGATTACTCAATAAGCAAGGTAAGCATGTGCTTAGGGCATCAACAAAACAGGGGCACTGGTTGTCCAAAGCAAAGACCCATAGATGCCAAACAGACAGGGCACATTAAATTTTCTTTTATGACATCTTTTTATTTATAATTATAGCATTTATTACAAAACAAGCATCAAAATTGAAGTATGAGTTGTTTAAAGCAAAATTGGTGAAAGTCGATTTTTCATAGTGGGAGTTCAACAGAATTTTACATTGCTTGTTGAAACAACTAAGTTCACTGACTGGTATATAGTAAAAAGACAATCTGGTATATAGTAAAAAGCTTAGTACCCTGCATCCACTAAAAATTTTATAATGCAGTTCATCTCATTCGGCTAAAAAGGCACATACCACTTTTGCATTCAATTGCTAATATTATGGTCGCATTTAAAAAGAAGTTACATCATAGATAGCTAAGACACACCCATATATATATATACGTATATATCTAACTCACATATCCCATTCAAATGCATGAGTAAGCAGAGGAAGGAGCACCACAGATTACCAGTGTTTAGGGCCCTCACATGCCTTAATCCGGCCCTAGGTGAAGTTTAAATGTCTTGAGTGGAGTTTAAAGGAAGAATAGATATGATAGCATCATTCAGTACCAGCAAAGGGGCTTTGGGGCAGCACTTTTTTTCTCCATTAAGATCAACAGGATTTGAGCTCTTCCATATGCTTCAGTTCAGTAGATAGTAGGATAGGATACTCAAATTAACTGCCTCTAGGTCCACAGAAAGGATCCCTGGTGCACAATGTTTAAGCACTTGGCTGCTAACTAAAAAGTGAGCGGTTCGAATCCACCAGCTGCTCCACAGGAGAAAGATGTGGCAAGTTGCTTCCTTAAAGATTTACAGCTTGGAAACTCTATGGGGCAGTTCTACTTTGTCCTATAGGGTCGCTATGAGTCAGAATCAACTCGATGGCAATAGGTTTTAGGTCGACAGAACTATAGATCTGTACAGAGAGTTTCAGTCATCTCATCTACTGAAATGATTTCATCACAGAGGGAATCACTGAGGGATAGTAGTATGTGTGTATTCTCAGAAGGAATAGAGTCCCACTTGCCATGGTTGTGTGATGTATATAATGTTTATGTGTCATGGGTCCTAACGTAGTTCTTTTAACACCATATATATGTCTTTCACGTACATTATACTCTTACTAAAGCTGCATTCATTATCTTCCCCCTATAAACACACATGCACACCCACACACCCACACACTCCTATTTCTCCTCAAACATCTTCATCTCAGTAAATGATATCACTAGCCATATTGTTCAGCAAGCTAGAAACTGTAAATTCCTATTTATTCCATCTTAACTCTTAAATTACCCATGGTCCATGTAGCGACCACTTACTTTTTCAGGCTCTGGGGTTTATTGGGAAGCTGCTTTCCCACTGAGAGTCTGTGCTGCTGGCAGGGGCGTTTTTGATTGTCTGAAACCAAAGAAATGGGTGTGTGCTGCAAATTACTGTTTTTACAGGGTATTGTATGAGGTGTTGCTGAATCAATATTTTTTTAAGGTAAAATACGGATTTGGAATTTTTTTTAAGTGGTACCCATATGTACCTGTGGACTCCACGGATAGAATTAGGGTACACATATGTTCCACTGTACTCTGAGGGTATGATGGGGTGGGGGAGCGGCGAGAAAAAAAATCCATATTACTTACCAAAAATTTAGACACACTCAATGCTTCAGCATGCTTCCATTAATTAAAGCAGATGGTATCAACAAAAAAGTCAAAGCAGAAAATAATTGGGTACTGAAAGGGTTATCCCTCCAATTAAC